AGCTGGGGGGTTAAATAAAGAGCGTTGGAGATGCCCAGAGGGCAGGTGCTGGGGAGGATGCGGTGGCTGGTGTTAATGAGACAGTGCACCCTTGTGGCTGTGTTTGTGTAAGCCTCTGATTTTTTTCACCTTTTTGCTGCACATGGTGAGACCCTCTGACCACCTTCCCCCCTCTCCTCATGCTGGGTGCTAAAAGCAGAGAAAAATCCCATTGTCTGTGTTTGCTGCAGGGTGCTTTGATTCTTCACCTGCCAGGATCAAGCAGTAGGAGGCAGCATCTCTGGGATGCCTCCCAGGGATGCTGGATTGTGGTTCCCATGTGATTGGCTCAGAATCTGCGATGAAATCAGTGCCATCTGCTGAGGCTGTAGAGTGGCAGCCTGTGATCTAGAACATGTAGAGAGTCATCCAACCGGGAACTGACGGTGGATGAAATAATGATTGATCGGTATCTCTGGTACAGTGCTGCTGCATTTCCATGTGCAGCCACCCATGAGTCAGATGATGGCCTGAAATCACTGGTAGAGCAGGACAGAGATGTCAGCCATATGGCTGCTGCTAGCATGGTTTCAACCTTAGTGTAGATAGGGCTGCTGAGGCAGACTTGCTCTGTCTAGCTGGACATGTTTTTAATTTCCTGCCCCCTTCCCCATCTATCCTGTCATATCGCCTCCACTCTCTGTTTTTAAGCTTTTGTTTGCTAGCCAGACCAGGGAAGGGGCTAGGTACTTGTGATGCTGAATGGGCAGCTGTGGAGGGAGGAGGAGTTGTGTTCTGCAAATATGGATATTATCAACGTGACTAGAGCTGAACAAAAAGTGACTCCAAAGGCCACGGTGCTAATGAATGCTGGGGGCTCTCTGTTGAGTGTCTGCCCTTCCTCTTTGCTGTGTCTAGGCAGTGCAAGCAGGAAAGGCGATGTGCCAGTTTCCAAGCAGAATAAGTTTCCCATTATAGCCAGTAAACCCAGCAGATCAAATTAACGTGTTAGTCTCTAAGGTGCCACAAGTCCTCCTTTTCTTTTTATGGGAGAGCTAGCGAGAGGGGTTGCGGGGGGGCTAAGGGAGTGAGGCTGGGGAGGTAGGTTGAGCAGTAGGACAGGGGAGTGCAGGTTCACTCCTACTCCAGCCCTTCGCTGCCTGGGCTTTGAGCTGGCTGTGGTGTGAAGGAGGCAATCTCTGTCAGTGTCCTTTGGCAAAAGTCACATAACGTGTCTCCTTTTTAATATAAAACTCGCTGGTATCGGGAATTCAGACCTTGGTCCAGCACCGTTCCAAAGCACTTGCAAAACTTCAAGCACATGCTAAAGTGCTTTGCTGGACGGGGGCCTTAGTCTGGAGATGCGTGGGCCTAAAGTCTGAAGGGTCACTTCCCAGCCCTTTCGGAGCTGGAGGGAGTGGAGGAAAGGAGAGACCCCAGGCCGTGTTTCATGTGTAACTGCATCCAGCTCCTAAACTCCTCAACAGCTTGACTTCGAGCGTCCCTGAAAATGCACTCTTCACCGTGCGTGTGCGCTGTACATTAGAGATGCACATTACTCAAACCTAAGAAAGGGATCTTATCCCTGCTATAAACGCAAACTTCAGTGCAGCCTTAGCCATAGACTCTCCATCACACACTGTCACATGGGACTGTCTGGGATGCTCTCATTAGGGGTCAGGAGGTATTTTCATCCCAAGCCTGTTTTCAGGCAATTAGAGCTTTCTGCAGACAAGTCCCCTTTGGGCAGCCGTTTCAGAGAAGGCTGCACACTAGTTAAGATACAGTCTGTCGTGGAAGCATCAGACTTTCCCTGAACCCAGCCCTCCAAGCGGGCTTTGAAGTTGGAGGAAATTTGTTTAGAAGTAATGTAATTAAAATATTTTTTCCAATACATTTTAGCATAAAAGTTGAGCACAACACAGAAAGATACGGAAAGCACAGAGGCCAAGAGCAAACACAGCTACTCATATCTATGCTAAGGAGAGGACTCCTCTGAAGAAGAAATCATTGTTAGTACTGTCTCATCAGGAACCCATCTCATCATGGGTTTTAAGTCCTGCTTATACGCTGGGGTGACTAGATGCAGTTACGTTGCCAGTATTGTAAGGTATCTGGTCAATGCTTATGATACAGCAGTTTGCTAATATACAGTGCTAATAACACAGAGGACTGCTAGCTCTCCCCTACAAAAGGTATTAAGGAGAAATGGACAAGAAAAAAACTTGAAGCATAAAATTATATTGTGTATGGGGCATAGGCCCTGCGTTTTTACTTTTCCCCACGGGGGAACGCCCGAGACCCCGCCCCACTCCATCCCCTCCCCCGAGGCCCAACACTTGCCCCATCTCTTCCTGCCCCACTCCGCCCCCTCCTTGAGGCCCCCGCTCGTTGCTCTCCGCCCTCCCCCAAGCCCCTCCCCAAGTCACCAGGCAGCTGTGCCTATGGTATGTGGCATGCTTGTCTGGTAACACTTCCAGAGGCAAATGGCAGCCGCATGGTATCTGGATTCCCCAGTGCAGACCAGTTAGCCTAGCTGTCCCTTATTGAGCTCTATGGGTCTGGGCCCTCGCTGTGTCTCCCCCACTCACCCTCCCTGGGCCTGACTGCATGTGTCGTTGGGAGGCTGCCTGGAGGGAGCGTGCATAATTCCACACTGCTAACCCGGAGCAGAGGGAGGGAGCATCTCTCCAGTTGGGGCCCCACCAGGGCCACAGCCTCAGATGCCTCTTTCTTCCCTGCCAGGACCACTGCATCGGAAGGTGCCCAGCACACCTGGCAGTGTTTACGTTGCCAGCCCATCCCCTGCTTTTGCCTTTGGGGCTCATCTGTCCCATGTTGTGCGTTGTGTGCGGGTTAACAGAACCCGTGCTGTGTGGTTCCATCGCACAGGCTTCCAAGCGTACCTGAACCTAGCCTATTCCTAAACACAAAGAAGCAAAAATCAAAGGGATTCTGTGTTTAAAAATAAATAAATCTCTGAAAGAGAGGCTGAGATGGTAAAAACCCTGTGACCCGTGTCACTCCCCAGCAGCCCCAAATCCAGCCCTCCCTGCCGTTGCCATGCTTGGCCCTTTGCGGTGGATGGGGGCGGGGGGCCCAGGCATGAGACTTACCTTGCATGCACGCAACTCAGTGTGGTAGAGTGCAGGGTGTGGGAGAACCTGGAGTGGAAAGTGGGGGTCTTCAGTTTCCCAGCTTCCCCACTCCGCAGCCGGGGTGGGAGGGGGCACTGTGGAGGCTCCTGTGTATGCTGCAGCAGTCCCCACCCCATGTCCCACTGAGAGCGCTTGGTGTGGCTGTTTTTAACATGGGCACAGCAACAAAATTTTCCTAATTTTGTTCAGAGGAATGGCTGGACCGTTTTATCTGAAACCTCCCAGAACACCTCAGGCTGAGGCAGACACCTGGCAAGCAACGTTTCAGACTGAATGGTTAAATGTTGGCAAAGTTATAAGAAATTGAAAGAAGGATCTTATAATGAAAGTATCTGGCAGCCTTCACGGTCATCATTGCTACCTGCACTGTCTGTAAAAACTTGGTCTATTTTTTTCTCAGTCCTGATGGGCTGAAACATCATCTGACCTAAAGCCTTTGGGCCCAGATTGCCTGGAAAATCAGCCTTAATGTTAAGGATTTAAACAACATTAAACTTTAAGTCAGGGTTTTTCCCTGTACACTACAATGTGCTTTTTGGCAGTGCTGCTGACTATTATTCTTACTGTGCAAAGTGGTGGGAAAACGTCATGTTCTTTTACATTTAGTTCTCTAAGCAGAGGTTAGCAGAGAAGCCTCTAGTTCCGCTCGCTGGGCTGCAGCTCCTGCACTGCCGTTTCCGAGCTGCTGCCACGTAGTCCATGAGGATTAGATATTTTTGAAGGGGAAACTCGCCCCTGGAGGAGCAGATTTCACCTGGGGATGGTGTGAAACGGCGGGGCTGCAGCCCCCTTCTCGGTACAGATTGTGGGTGAAGCAAGGCTGGCAGGGCCATGCTGAGAGGTGGACCAATGGCAGGGCCCTCCAAGGCTGAGCCTGAGCACCAAGACGGCTCAGGTACCTGCCGCTGCTTGTGCACACACGGCACTTGGGGACAGGTGTTGACCCCCAGTGCAGAATGGAGGTGTTCCTCTACGCAGAGGGGCAGGGTTGGCAGCACAATAACACTGCTGAACCCCGCTACTTCAGCACTACCTGCATGCATGGAGCTTAGCTCCTGTTTGGGGCAAGGCAGACCAGGGAAGGGGTGGGACAGGGGCCGCTCTAGTCTTAGGTAGACTAAGCAGCTGCCTAAAGCTGCAGATTTGGCCCGGCTGCCCCTCCGTCATGACAGAGAGCGGCTAGGCCAAATCTCTGTGGCATTGCGACCCTGTGTGCCAGGTCACAACGCCACTCACTCAGATTTGGCCTGGCCACCCCTCCATCATGACTAGCTGCCCTAGGCCTAGGAGGAGGGGTGCAGCACACTGAAGTTTTGTCTACCACTCCAGATTGTCTTGAGTGGCCTCTGTCTGCCACTCTGTGGATCAGCCCATTATCAGCCTGAGGGAGGGACTACAGAACAGCTCCTCATGCCGCTGGAGAATTTCTCCCCAGCCCATGGTCCTGAGGGAGATCCCCAGTGCACGAGCTGAGCTGGGGCTGGACCTGGCGCCAGGGGCCTGGTCCAGGGCCAGGCTCTCTGTGGATCAGGCCCTACGTGAGCGTGGGCCCTCCTCCTTGCTGAGAGCTAGCAGAACTCCAGCTCTGGCGGAAGCCCTAGGCTCTGGAGTGGGTCATCAGTGGTATGTGAAGAGACCAGATGCTAACCTGGGGCGGATGCTGCTCGCTGCCCAGGATCATAGCTGGTTCCTGCACCAATCTGCTTGTTAAGGCCTCTGCCCTGAGCCGTGACTGGAGGCCTTCCTGGGGTGCGTGAATGGCTTTCCTGGTCCGGACCCTGCTGTGCTGCTCACTCGGACCTGCCTGCTGAGGTTGCCTCCTGGTTCTCTCCCCTTGACGGCTCTTTTGTAATCTCCCCACAGAAACGCTAATGGACTCCACCACGGCGACGGCAGAGCTGGGCTGGACAGTGCATCCTCCCTCAGGGGTGAGTTCTCTGTTCTCCTCGGGATTGAAGGGAACAGTGGTGTAGGACACAGATTGGGGCAGATTAGCAATCCTAGATGTTACTGTTTACTAAAAGAGATTCACTGAAACAGGGCCAAAACCAAAACAAGCAGAAGGCAAAAACGTTCCCCCCCAAATTCCTGAATTCTGAGATTTTGAAAATGTTTGATATGGGGTAAGATTTTAAAAAGCATCTGCGTGATTAGGAGCCAAATTCTCATTGGCTGTCAATCGGACTGAAATGCCTAAGGGGCTAAATCCCTTTTGAAAACGGCAGTCAGGTGCTTTTGAAGCTGTAGCCCACTCTCTGTAGTCGCTGAAATGCTCAGAGGGGGGTGGGAGATTCAGCAAATGCTTCATCAGAAAATTTCCCAGAACTTTTTTTTTTTAATTGTCAAAATGTGAGAAATGTCAGTTGTTCGGGTTGGAAAAGGGCGTGGCCAGGAACAGGAACACTGAACCCAAACACACCTGCTGCAGGCCCGGGGCCTGGCATGAACTGATGAGAATGGCAAGTGAAACTGGCCTGGCTTCTCTGGCTCGTCGGGAAGCAGCCAGAGCTAGACAGCTCAGCTCTTGCAAGTAGCTGCAGAAGGCGTGGCTGAGGGGTCCTGCCTTTCCCCTCTCCATAAGGGATACTGGCATCTCCTCCTGGCAATAAGTGCTGCAGTCTTGGGGAATTAGCACCGAGGAAGCCAGTCACTGTGGGCCAGATCTGACAGTGGTGACGCCCTGTCTGCTCGCAGCAATGGGAGCTTGCTGGAGGAAGTACTGAGTAACACCCAGTAAGGGCCTGGGCACTTGGGTCTCTACGTGGCGCACACGTCCAAGGAAGTTCAGTGAGGTAATTTGGACTCTCCCTATACTCCACTCCAACCAGACCACTCTCACGGTGAACCAGATCCTGGGGGCCTTACTCAAACTCCATCCGACTTCCAGGGCTGTATGACTCCAGACTCAGCCCTGGCCTGGAGGTTGTGAAGGACACCAGAGAAGCGCTGGGTCTGTTCTGTGCTCTCCCATAACACAAAGATCCATTTGAAGAAATGAAGAGAAACACGGCGGCGCAGGTGGGCCTGCAGGGTTTGAGCACCATGTTCCCTTGTCCCTGCCTGGCAGCTGGGAGCAGCCCATGTTCACTGCAGATGACTCTCTGGGGCTGGGGCGAGGTGTTGTCAGCGGAGGGCCCTGGATTCTGGGCTGTGCTGACTGAGCCGAGTTTGGTGACTGTGTGCGTTGAGAGACTCTATTCCGTCGGGTCTGTGGGGCTGAGCTGGCAGGCTCCAGGAGAAGTATGACAGGCACACGGAGGCCAGGGTGTGTCTGCATGGCAAGTGCAGAAGCTGTGCACCTGCCCCAGGGCTCATCCCAAAACCATGGTGACAGAGACACCATGCCGGAGTACATGTCCCTCGGCCATTTCCCCTTGCCTGGGGGAGGAGGAATTTCCTGTCCCGCAGCAGTAAACTACAAGACCCCCATGTTGGCAGTTGGCTCAGCTGTGACAGCAGAGCACTTTGGAGGAGAGCTCCGACTAAGGCTGTCATTCCCACCTGCTCCTGTGTCCTCACACCCAAACAGTGTAAGGGGAGTTCTTACTACCCTTACTGGCACCTGGTGCTGGTGCTGTGGGATCTCAGCTGGACCGAAAGCCACAATTCGAACCATTTGGCTCAGTGCAGGAAGTGCAGAGGCATATGACAGGCAGTCAGGGAAGCACTGGATGGTGACTCGGGAGAAGATCCAGATCTGCGATGTTGTTACTTAACCACCCCAGTTCCTGGGGCTGTGCTGAAGTCCAGAAACCCTGCCACACCCAGACTGAATTCCCCTGCTGTAGTGCGGAAGGTCTTGGCGCTGACAGGAGGGAGTATGCTGGTGTGGTTAAAGTATGGGGTGCAAGGTGGGCCGATGTGGGGTCCATCTGCAGCGCCACCACAGACTGGGGAAAGGCGCGGCCCCTCTTGGCACCTCAGCTCCCCAGCCACAGGGCCCTGCCTCCTGTGCGGGAGGCTGCGTTGCCACGGAGGTGCTGTACCAGGCACGGTGTTATTGCCCAGCATCCACTGCAGTCTCCCACCTGCCTTGGGCACTGGCGGGGCTCTCTGAGGTGTTAGACCGGAGCCCTGACACGCCTTACTCTTCCTCCTCCCCTCCCAGCTCAGGGTCCGGGGGGATCTGCCCTAGAGCCAGGGGCCTTGGCCTGCAGCCACAGCTGGGGCATTGCCAGGCCACTCGAGGAGCCTCACTAGAGATTCTTTCTGAAGGCGCAGACAACTCGCACTCTGGGCTCTCCAGCCCTGCGTCCCTGCTCCCCCGCAGCTCTGGGATCACCAGGGACTGGAGATGGCCTGGGGAACACCAGAGGCACAGAGAGCTTGGCAGACCCCAGAGATGCAGGCGGCTTGCCTTCCCGTTGGCCTCAATCGCCCTGACCTGCTTTGTCCTAACCTGACATGTTCGATCACAGGGGACCGGGCCAATACACACCCAGCATGTGTGAGGGGATGGGGACCGGGCCAATACACTCTCCTTGCAGAACCCACCTGTATTTGTTATGATTTTTCGGTTGCTTTTCTGTGCTACTTGCCCCTGTAATTTGGTGCCACAGCCTTTGTAAGACACCGGGACAGTCTTCTTCTGGATGATAATGCTGGAAGAGCCGTATTTCATGCAGGGCAGGGAAGTTCCCGTCAATAGATTTTGTGACTGAATGTTCATTTGCTTCCTCTTTATCCCCCCTGGCCACTCAGCATTGCTAACAGCCAGTGACTGAAATGTGTGACAAAACCTGCTGCAGTTTTCCACTGCAATATAGATGATAGTGAGAAATAAAATCTGTGGAGGCAGATTTGTGGACGGTGCAAATGAGGAAAATTGGAACTATGTGAGGATCATGTGGCTGCCTTTATGTGAGTGCCTCCACTGGGTATTTAGCCTAAATGTGCACGGCGCAATCTCCATGCCTAGCACTGTAGGGCCTGAGTGTCTCTCGTGAGGCTTTTCACAGCCTGAAGGGCCAGGGCCGTTGGGCAGGTGTGCTCTGGCAGCTCTCGGAGAGTTAGCACTGAATTTCTGCTGGCGGCAAGCAGTGGAGGGGTTCGCTCTGGGAATGATGAGAGCTCTGGCTAGTGCCTTGTGCTGGGTAAGGCAGTCCTGTTTTCAGGGAGGGCGTCTTCCCAACACATCAGGTTTCACGTCCATGGGAAACTCTTTGTTTGGCTTCTCAGTGAGCAGGCTTCTGATACGCCATTCCAGCTGCCTGGGATTTTGTCACTAGTGCCTACCAGATTCCCCCTCTTGCTGCACTCCAAGCTGTAGCTCACGAAAGCTTATGCTCAAATAAATTTGTTAGTCTCTAAGGTGCCACAAGTCCTCCTTCCCTCAACCCTGGACCCCGCTGCTTCCTGCTGCTACAATCCATGGTGCTGGTTCCTGCCTGTGCCATGGGAAAGACGCTGGCTTTAGGTGTTGTGGGTGGGGTGGGGCCACCGCTGGATGCTGCACCCTGTCTGGCCTGGACAAAGCCATGGGAGGAGCTCTACTTTCTTGGGACGGCCCAGTTGATGGCTAAACCTCCTCCCAGCCAGTGTCCCTCTCACATCTGTGCACACCACAAATGAAGAACTCGTGTGCCTGCCCCAGCCGCGGCCTGCTGGGTAGCCATGCGTTCCTGCTCCAGGGTGTGCTCAGCGCCACCTGTGCCGGAGGGAGACGTCCCCAAATGTTGACCGGTTTCTCCCCTGAGAAGGAGCCTTCAGGCCCCTGCAAGGATCCGGGAGCCAGGGGCAGCAGAGGGGCAAAGCATGTCTTTCGCTTGCCTTCCACCTGGGCTCCATTGGTGGCATGTTCAGCAGCAGCCTGGATATTCAGCACTGGGGTGGAGTTTTGCCACATCCAAGGCAAAGAGAACCTTTCTTTTGCCCTCTCTCTGGAAGTACTGGGCTCTGTGGAGGCGAGGGAGCCCCGCACACAGACTAGGGAACATTGTTTGCCGGGCTCAGCTTTGTCAAATCAGTGCCTTTCCCAGAGCTGAGAGCCAGGCCTCCACTGCAGCATTGGTTCCACATTGGGAACCGGAGGCTGGAGAGAGCTTGGAGAACAACAGGTGCCGGGGTTGGAAAACAAACCCTGCCAGGTGTGGAAGGCTCAGAGGACTGGGCAGGGTCATTCTGGAGAGGAGGCAGCTAAGGGAGATGTAATAATGGCCTTTAGATCTGTCAGGAGACCTTGTGCAGCAGACAGGCTCAGCTATTGCTGTTAGTCACCAGGGATGGTGCCACAGCACGTGGATGAGCCTGCCACAGGGAAAGCCCAGGGAAATAGAAGGGGAAACATCCCAAATATGACTGCATAGGGAGACCCTGGTGTCCTCTCCATCACCAAGTCCCAGTCCCTAGGGGAGCTTTAGAAAGCATGCCATCAGCCCTGCACCCTGGCCCTGAGCGATGGATCAGTCACTAGGAGCCCAGATGTATTTCCGGGATGTTACCTGGGTCCTGGGTCTCCTCTCACAGCCTCTGGAGTGAGTTGGGAGTTGCTGGGGTGCTCGTCAAGCCAGCCTGCTCTGCTGGCTGTTGGGGTCAGGGTTTCAGCAGCCAGCCTCTTCCCCTTGAGAACATCCAACCTGCTGGGCGCAGAAAGTCTTGACTATCTGCCCCAGTGGGCTTGAAAACTGGGGACAAAGAATATCCAGGAACTGTTTTCCTGTGCGTCAGTGTAGCGTGTTGCCCAGCCCGACCTGAGGGGCTGTGGAAAGAGGGAGCAGGGACACAGGACAGGGTGAGGTGAGGTCAGTGGGCAGTCAGTCTTGGTCAGGGTATTGCTGTTATTTATTTGGATTACCATCATGCCGAGGGCAGTCCTGGCCCAGGCCCCCATGGAGCCAGGTGCTGTACGAACATAGAATACCAGCAGGGTCCTGGGCTCAAAGAGCTGCCTGTCTAGATTAGCTTGGTGGGTTTGGGGGTGGGGGCATGAGAGGTGGGGAGATTAGGGGAGGGGGATAGGAAGCAGCCATAAAACAAGAAGAGACCATCCCAGTCACATATGCCAAATGTCTAGAGAGGTTGTTTTCCCTGTAGGTTTGTTCCATGTCCGATGTGAGGTGAGTTTGTGGCTCTCAGTCAGGGCAGTGGTCCCCAAACTGTGTGTGGGGGGGTGGAGGAACATCCGGGAGCGCATGGTAGGACTCATGCCAGCCCCCATGTGGTGGCAGGGGCGGGGTGCACCACCCAGCCCCGCTCTGTGCCTAACTCCACTCCAGCCCAGCCCCCAGGCCCTGGCCACGGCCCTGCTCCTGGCCACAGCTCGGCCACTGGCCCTTGTTACTGGTCCCCGCTCCTGGCCGCAGCTCCACCCCCAGCTGCTGCCCCCAGCCACAACTGTGCTCCCAGCCTGGGGAGGTGCGGACACGTTCCATTACTGGTAAGAGGGGCGCGAGAGGAAAAGTTTGGGCACTGCTGGTTAAGGGCTCAGTGCCCTTTGCACAGGCCGGCTCTGACTCCCTTCCTTGCTGGCAGCCTCAGGACAGAGGCTGAGGAGTGACTGAGCTCCCCTTTCCTCTCCGAGGGGCTCCCCTGCCTCAGCCATGTGCTCAGTGTGGGGAAGCTTGGCTGCCCCCTCTGCTCATGCTGCTGCTGCTAAACCAGACACTTTCCATTTCCTGGGCTGCTAATCGGCACCTTTCACCAGTGCTGCCTGCCCTGGCCTCTCGGCCAAGGTTCAGCCTGGAAAAGGATTTTACCTCCAAGTTAGGAATCCTGAGAAAGCAGGTTCTCATGGAATGTCTGCCCCCTTTGTAACCACGGTGGGACCAGTGGGAGATATTTGCAAAAGGCATCGTGTTACTTTACTGCGAGGCCGGACCGTTAACAGGCCCCTGCTGGAGAGGATCCCTGGTAAAGACATGACCTGCTCGCAGATGGGATTCACGTCCCTGCCGTAGCCTCACCACACAGCCCCCAGAATGCCATGCACACACCACCCCCGATCCATCTCCTGGGAACCGGGCATGGGGCTGGGCAGCAAACCCTATTCACAAACCAGACCAGCTCCCTGCAGACAAGGCAGAGGCCGGGCCTCAGCCCAGGGGCTAAGTGTTTAATTAGGGTTTCTGCTACATTTCAAGCAGTTAAAGGAGCCCTGACAAGTAGTTTGGAGTGAATAGTTCTCCTTCAGCACCTTAACACGGCTCTAATCTGGATGGCGAATGCCCTTTGTGATGTGTTTGAACCTTACCCAGCCTGGCACTGAGAGATCAAAACTCTAGTCCCTGTTTGGGTTGGACCTACCCTGCCTAGCCCAGAGCTTTCCTGCTGGTGCAGTGGGAGCAGCATGTCCCAGGAGCTGTGCAAGTGTCCCGGGAATGCTAGCGCAGAGGCAGGGAAGCTTGGAAGGGGGAGCCGGGTGTCCCAGAGGGGAGAGTAAGTGATGTTCACCAGCCTGACCACGCCAAAGCCCAGGTGGGTGGCGGGGGTGGGGTGGGGTGGGGTGGGGAGGGGAGGGATCTATTTCAGCTTCCCAGGTGATGGTCTCCCAGCCAGCGGGGAGCGAAGCTACAGCAAACAAATGCCTGGCCCGGCTGGCCATGCCCCTTGGAGGTGAGCAGGGCGGCCCCTGCTGACGGGTCCCTCTCCTCGTCAGGAATGGGACGCACTCTGCCAGGCTCACTAGTTCTTGTCTCTGCAGAACGGGGCGGAGGTCTGCTCTCCCCCACCCACTACTTTGCAGGCTGTTTGTGGAAGGCTGCCCCAGAATGGGGTGTAAGGTGCCCCCGCCCCCCCCCATGGTAGGTCCTGCAAAGGCTCAGGCTGCCTTTCCCGGCAGAGCGGGGCTGCGAGCGAGAAGGAACTACTGCACTGACATCCTAATGGCAAAGAGGGGCTGGCGGGACAGCTCATTCCTTTAGCAGAGCCCACTTCCTGGGGGCACGGGGCCTCCTAAAACGTGTATCATTGTAACCCACTGCTGTGTGTGTTCCAAGTTCTCCTCAGGGAATCCGCAGAGGACAGGAGTCTGTTGCAGCCCGAGCCAGGAAGCTTGGCTCTTTAGTTCAGGCTGTATTTAGTTTTGAAGAGCCACAGTTCAGCACCTATGTGCTTGCCAAGAGAGCAGCCATCACATGCTGTTCTTATTGGCTGTGTTATTGGGCCAGGGATCAGTCAGGGACTCTGGAGTTTCTCACTTCGTGGCTGCTGGGTGAGTCCAGCCCAGGCTGATGCCTTGTGTAAAATGAGCCAACAGGTCTCAATCTAGTTCCTAGTATCCCTGTTATACAAGGAGCTGTCCCACGTGGAACCCTTTATGGAAGGCTTTGAAGAAGCAATGGGCCCCGGAGCCCAAATTCCACTGTCAACCCCAAGCTTCAGGCCAAGGTTGCAGGCGGAGTGGAGCTTGCACTGCCCCCGTGGTGTTTGTTCTGTGTGGAACAGAGCCCTTTGGTCTGCACGGGCCCTGCTGACGCAGCACCGGGCACAGCGCATGCACGTTCTCGCACTCAGCTCAGAAAAGGAAAGTAGACAATGATGCATTAGTAGCAGCATTGCCAGCAGATCGAGGGAAGTGATTATTCCCCTCTATTTGGAACTGGTGAGGTCCCATCTGGAGTATTGTGTCCAGCTTTGGTCCGTCCCCTACAGAAAGGATGTGGACATATTGGAGAGAGTCCAGTGGAGGGCAACGAAAAGGATCAAGGGGCTGGGGCACGTGACTTACGAGGAGAGGCTGAGGTGAATTGGGCTTGTTTAGTCTGCAGAAGAGAAGAGTGAGGGGAGATTTGATAGCAACCTTCAACTACCTGAAGAGGGGTTCCAAAGAGGATGGATCTAGACTGTTCTCAGTGGTAGCAGATGACAGAACAAGGAGTAATGGTCTCAAGTTGCAGTGGGGGACGTCTAGGCTGGATATTAGGAAACACTATTTCACTAGGAGGGTGGTGAAGCACTGGAATGAGCTACCTAGGGAGGTGGTGGAATCTCCATCCTTAGAGGCTTTTAAGGTCAGGCTTGACAAAGCCCTGGTTGGGATGATTTAGTTGGGGATTGGGCCTGCTTTGAGCAGGGGGTTGGTCTAGATGACCTCCTGAGGTCTCTTCCAGCCCTAATCTTCTATGATTCTGTGTTACAGCCACATTTTTCTCTCTGGACCATGCAAGGCGCAGTGCTGGGTTGGGGCAGCGTCCTCTACAACATAGCATCCTTCCCATCTCGGGGTGGGGACAGGAGGCAGAGCTACGAATGAGGTTATTCACCAGGCCCCCAGGACAGACAGGGAGATGCAGAGCTGAGACGGCATTTTACTTGGAGAAAAAATATGGAAACACACAGTACATTTCAGAGACATCTGTCTCCATCATAAAGGAGCATAGGAAGGCACAAATACACTGAAGTCAATGGGAGTTTTGCCATTCACTGCAGTGAAGCCAGGATTTCACTCCTGGAGTCTGACCGTCACTTGTACCTGTGTAATGGTGAAACAGTCATTCACTCCCTTTGCCCAGCTGTTAAGTGACGGCTCAGGGTGGAAGTGATGGAGACTCTGGCCCTTCATGGTTTTCTTTGCAATTTACTTTTTAAAATATCAAGTAACCCTTTCCCCTGTGACAGTGGAATGAACCAGGAGTTGAGAGCCCTTCTAACAGAGGCCCAGGCTGTGCTAGACACATGTAGGTACTTTAATGACCCTTGAAGAGTCTCCTCTGCCAATCAGTGCATGTATCTCCCGCTAACAAGAGTGGAAACCCAGTAACCACCCAGGAGAAGAGAGCCCCTAGCCAGTGTGGTGGCTTTGTCCTGTCCCAGCAGCGGCAGTGTAGCCTGAGTGCACCACGTATCCTTTAGCTGCTCCCCCCCAGCTCCCTTCTTCATTGCATCAGCCATTCCCAGCACCTGGCTGCGCGGCGCATTAGATGAGCATGAAGCATTTGAGGCGTGTGCCCTGGCTCAGGGAGCATGGAGACTGGGAGGGACCCAGTGTACGCTGGCATTGGACTCTGGGGTGGCTGCACCTAGCCAGAGCCCTAGTGTAGATACAATTGACCCTGGTGCAGCGCAGTTTGTACCGATGCAGCTGACCCCACATTGAAATGGGCTTCTCCTCTGCCTCCAGGCAGCCTGAGTCTTTGTCTATCAGGGGGTGGGGAGAGGCAGAGATGTGCCCCCACCGGGTATGTAAATGGGCGTAAGCCGACTGCCAGTGAATGTAAATGCAATGCAGCCCAGTGACTCTTTGTGTCCCATCCACAGTGGGAAGAGGTGAGCGGATATGACGAGAACATGAACACGATCAGGACGTACCAGGTGTGCAACGTCTTTGAGTCCAATCAGAACAACTGGCTGCGGACCAAGTACATACGGAGGAGAGGAGCTCACCGCATCCACGTGGAGATGAAATTCTCCGTCCGGGACTGCAGCAGCATCCCAAACGTTCCTGGCTCCTGCAAGGAGACCTTCAATCTCTACTACTTCGAATCTGACTTTGACTCGGCCACCAAGACCTTTCCCAACTGGATGGAGAACCCCTGGGCAAAGGTGGACACCATTGCGGCTGATGAGAGCTTCTCCCAGGTGGACCTGGGTGGCCGCGTGATGAAGATCAACACCGAGGTGCGCAGCTTTGGGCCGGTCTCCAAGAATGGATTCTATCTCGCATTCCAGGACTATGGGGGCTGCATGTCCTTAATTGCTGTCCGGGTCTTCTACCGCAAGTGCCCCCGAGTGATCCAGAACGGCGCTGTGTTTCAGGAGACACTCTCTGGAGCAGAGAGCACTTCACTGGTGGCGGCCAGAGGGTCGTGCATTACCAACGCAGAGGAGGTGGATGTCCCCATCAAGCTGTACTGCAATGGGGACGGGGAGTGGCTGGTGCCCATTGGACGGTGCATGTGCAAGGCTGGCTATGAATCAGTGGAGAACGGGACCATCTGCAGAGGTAACCATTTTTCGTTGCTTTTGTTAGGATGCTGTGTCCTTAGCATGGGAACCTGTGATTGCACCAGGCCAGGGCACATAGGCCACAGCCCCCTGGCTCTTGAAGGTGTCTCATCATGCTGCTTCTCCTGCAGGCAGAGGGAGGTTGGCTGCCACAGATTCGTTCACGTGCTGTTAGCAAACCTACCCTGCTCAGTGGCTTTGTCCTGCCTCTGCAGTGGCAGCAAGTCTGAGTGCACCACGTATCCTTTGGCTGCTCCCTCCCCAGCTCCCTCCTTCATTGCATCAGCCATTCCCAGCACCTGCCTGCCGGGCAGTGGCTCTTTGGCAAACTGTTGGTGACTGGGATTTGTAGGCGATATTGTAGGCCCTGCTTCCTGGCACTGGAGGCGGGTGGGAGAACCTGGGTTCTGTGGGCATTGCTCAGGGTGAGGAATTAGGATCTGTAGCTTTAATCTGCAGCTCTGTCAACCTGACAGTGTCCTCCGCAGCCAGGGAGGGGAACAATAGGAGAACAGCCCAAACAAAGGCCCAAGGGAGCACACACTCTGTCTAGAGCAACAGATGGGCCTCGCTGTGAGGGCTGAAGCAGTGTGTGTGCGCGTCTGGTCACTTACCCTTTGTTCTTCCTATGGGGAGCTTTCCCTGCTCTTGCCTGCACTGGGCAGCATGATCCAGTCCCTTCCATTCATTCTGCAGGCTCTTCATGATCTCTGTGAGAGCTGGCCATTGGTTCTAAACATGCATCTGGCTGGCTGATCTCCATACACCTCTCTGTCGTTGGCTGATTTCCCATCACTATGGTCCCTGTTCATAGCCTGCTTGGACTGCCTGTCCTTGTGCCTGGGGGCACCATGAACGCATGCTCCTTCTAGCTAAGCTTCTGAGCACGCCTGCCCATTTGTGCCTGAGTCGGGTGCCCGCTGGTGTGTATGGTGGCCAGGCTTACGCTCCCGAGCCATTTGAGGGACACGCACACACAGACATGGCGTGTTCCATGTTCAGTGCCCGCGCCATGCATGCTGATCTCCCAGACAATCTGCGGTGCTTCACCTGGGAAAATGCCAAGTGGAAGGCTCGCCCTCGCCTGGCTAGAGGGTCCTGGCATTGCCTGATTACAGTACCTGTGAGTCATGCAACTCAAGGATGCCAGTAGCTCTTAGCATTGCAGGGCTGGATTACGCTAGCCAATCGGAACAGGTGGTGAAAGGATGGGCAGGCAGAGTCCCTCCCTGCAGCAGCAGGGTCTGAAGGGGAGTCCATTCTTAGGGAGAATTGTGATCCAAAGGGATTATGTTTAGACTGTAACAGGACATCCAGACTACGGAGCAATGTCTAACAGAGGTACTGCTAGGAGTGGCTGCAATCTGGTCCCTTACTGTGGCGGGGAGGGGAGAGCAGCAGGAGAGGGTCACCCAGGAATGAATAACTTTCACTTGCCCCCCCCGTAATTCTTTCTGGCCTTCCAGCCTCCTCCCCCAGTTCCACTGCTCTCTTCCCCCCATGTCTTCAGGTCCGCTCACGCTCCTGGTGCCAGCTCCCATCTTAGCTGCTGTTTCTTGGAGATAAAGTTTCACTTGCAATTGCCTGGACACTCAGGGGAGTCACACATTCCTCAGCAGATAGGCAGGCCCTGGGTGAACCAGCAAGGTACAAGCGCAGTAGAGACCACCAGGACTAGGGCCTCCTGCAGGCACAGAAAGTCAAGGTCTGCCAGTCCCACTCTCTGCTCAGAGGAGAACTCTCCCTCAAGGTCCCAGCCAGCATGATCCTCCCTCGCTCTCCACTGGCACTTCGTGTATCCCTGAGAACTCCACGATTCGCCCCTTCTGCCCCATGGGAAGGGTACTGGAGAGGGGCTGCACTGCGACTGAAATACAGCTGAATCAGCGAGACTTCCACTTCGAGCTGGAGCAGCTCTGCCTTCCCCAGTCCTGGGGTGTGGCAGGAAATGGGCTCGGGGTCACCTTGGCCTTCCCAATGGTCCGACAGAGCCCGGGTCTTGCTGCTCACAGCTCCTGCTAAAGGAACCTGAGTCATGTACTGCAGGTAGGGGTGGGGGCAGGGTGGGTGCTCTGAGATACCTGGCTGGAGGCGTCAGGGATTTGGATCTGGTTGTTCACTGTTTTTCTGCTGTAACAGAATAAGTGTAAGTCAAGTTTTTCTGTTCTCTGTCAGCTGTGGTCATTGAAGGGCCCAAAAGATCTGAGGGCTGGTTCTCTGGTTAATCACTGTGGGCATGTCTGGATTAACTCATCAGTTAATGGGAACATTCTACATCCTGGTCCGCAGTGGAGAACCCCCTTTTGTCTGCAGCGGAGGACAGAGGCATCAGCAGAGTTGTGTGTGGAGCTGGGTGGGCAGCTGCACGGCAAGGTGAGGGGCTTTGGTGAAGGAGCAGATGTACAGGGGAAGAGTGCAGAGTGTCCTTGCACTGTGCCAAACTCCAGCCGATTGCTTTGGTGACAGGTGGAACCATGGAGGGTCACCCCACTGTGTGCTCCCTTGTCTGTTTCCACCAGCCCCTCCAGAGTGCTGCCTAGAGCCCAACCATGGAGTAGAGGTGACAGTGCTGACGTAATAGACTTTGGCTTCTGCGAGGCGTTTGACTTGGTACCGCGAGACATTTTGATTTAAAAACTAGAGAGATATAAGAGTATCATGGCGCACATTAAAAGGGTTAAAAGCTGGCTAACTGGTCTCAAAATGTGATGGTCAGTGGTGAATTGTCATTGAACAGGTGGGTTTCTAGTGGGATCCCATAGGGATCAGTTCTTAGCCCTACATTACTTAATATTTTTCAGGGGTCTGGAAGAAAACATTCATCACCGATAAAGTCTGCAGATGACACACAATTTGCTGGGGTGTGTTAAATAATGAAGAGCACAGGTCATTGATTCAGAGCGATCTGGATTGCTTGGTAAATTAGCCTCATGCTAAATGTAAATGTATACATCTAGGAACAAAGTACACCCTCCTTCACCACCCTCCTAGCATACATTTTTGACAGTGAGGGTAACAAACTGTTCCAATGGCTAATCAGGGCTGTGGTAGATTTTCCATCACTGTCCATTTTTCAATAGAAGAGTGCATGTTTTTCTCACAGATCTGCTCTAGGAATTACTTTGAGGCAGGTCTCTGGCTGGTGTTATACTGGAAGTCAGTCTAGATGATCACAATGGGCCCTTCTGGCCTTGGAATCTATGAATGTCTGACTCACTACCCTAGCCCTGGCAGTTACTATGAAGGAAATTGGTCACAGGTCTGTGCCGAAGGGACACAGTGACTTACCAATGGAGCAGGGCCTGGAGACCAATATTCCTGTTAGAAAAGGGACCGTCAGGAGAATTCAGCCCTGCCTAAGCCAGAGGAGGGGCAATTATGCCCCCTGCTCCGGTGCTCATCTCAGTCCTGGTGCAGGGTAGGGCAGCCATCTGTGGGCCATTGATGTCATAACTTTCCAGCCTGTCCCCTCCTGCCTGCTCTCTTCCCACCCCACAATGCCCCGTGCAGGGGGACCAGGTGCAGGGATGTCGCTGCAGAAGGTACCCTCAGGGCCATGTAGCTGCCAGATAGCCCGTTTGTACTGGGTGTGCCAGCACGAAGGTTCTGCAGGGCACAGTGACTGGGGCATACTATCTCTGTGATACTGTCTGTGCACCTGGAAAAATGAGGCTATTCTCTCCCTCTTCTGCATGCTCATGTCCCTACCCTCTCCTACCCTCATTCAGGCCTGCTCACACTGAAAAATTAGATCACCCTAGCTACGTGCTGGAGTTGGGTCGACCTAACCTTCGGTGTAGATGTGGCTAGGTCAACAGAAGGATTCTTCTATCAGCTTAGCTACTGCCTCTTGAGGAGGTAGGTTACCTGCATCAATGGAAACCCCGCTTCTGTTGATGAAGGAAGTGTCTCTGATCCAGCAGCGCCATAGTTGTGCCTCTGATGTGGCTGCAGCATAGACATGTCCCAGGGTCAGCCCGGAGCCTGCTCAGAGGCTGCTGGAAAGGGAATGCTTCTCTCTGATAGACTTGGAGATGATGGCAGTAGCTGGGGTGCTAACTGGATGCAGCTGAGCGGCAGGCGAGGGTGGAGGTGTGGGAAGGGAATGTGACAGTCTGGTTGGAGAGAGAAGTACAGTTTTGCAGCTATGTAATACACTGACAAGGGAACTCCCAGGCCCAGGAGCAGGATGGATGGTAGGGGAGAGAGAGCCAGGGAAGCTGCTGAGGTAACGGGAGGGAGGAAGAAAAGCGTGCGAGCCTGTGAAAAGGAGTGAAAAGAGGCAGCGCAGCCAGGGGGATCAGATTGGCTCCTGGGCAGACACAGTTATTGAAACATTTCATTCCAGCCAACAGAGCCGTACCTTGTCCAAGCTAAATATAAAAATCCCATTACAGCCCCGATAGCATCTTGGCAATCGGTGTCAAGACGGTGTTTCTTCAAGATCAATTATAGATATGGTGAGGGGATTGTGAAGGGAAAGGTGCATCCCAATGCATGCGCTGCGAGGTGGGGGAGTGCGTTGCCTCCCAGCGGGGAAGGGAGGGGAAGGGCAGCGGGCTGGTCTTAAAATCCCTGAATCTCTGCGACAATTCATAGAATATCAGGGTTGGAAGGGACCTCAGGAGGTCATCTAGTCCAACCCCCTGCTCAAAGCAGGACCAATCCCCAATTAAATCATCCCAGCCAGTGCTTTGTCAAGTCTGACCTTAAAAACTTCTAAGGAAGGAGATTCTACCACCTTCCTAGGTAACGCATTCCAGTGTTTCACCACCCTCCTAGTGAAAAAGTTTTTCCTAATATCCAACCTAAACCTCCCCCACGCAACTTGAGACCATTACTCCTTGTCCTGTCCTCTTCTACCACTGAGAATAGTCTAGAACCATCCTCTCTGGAACCACCTCTCAGGTAGTTGAAAGCAGCTATCAAATCCCCCCTCATTCTTCTCTTCTGCAGACTAAACAATCCCAGTTCCCTCAGCCTCTCCTTATAAGTTAA